CCTTTGCCTACTACTCAGGTACATCACTATTCTTGAAATCTCTCCGTGAACGTTCAAATCTCTTTTTCCAGATGGGAACTTGAGAGATACCTGCGTGCGAATTATATGATGTAAACAATAACGTTCTACAAAAAGTATGAAATCTAAATTTAGGTGTCAGAATGTTTGCTAACATAAAGCTTGATAGTATAACGTARGTCTCGCGGTGTAACTAGTTCTAGTTCTATTTGTATTGACATCAAACATTATAAAGACCAATCGWTCACTTTTTATTTGAAACTATTATAAGCTTAATCGCACAAAAAAAAAAAACAGAATTATAAGCAACAGAGCTTTCTTTGTTCTTTTAATTTTAGTGCACACTTCGGTTATTAAGCTTAMTTTGTAATAATCATACCTGAATTCCGCCTTTGTTGTCCTCATTAAATAAGGTTTCTTCTTGCTCGTTTCTTAAGCTGAAATCGTTTTCTTTGTCTTCGAGTTTATCATAGTCCATAGATGCAAGCGATTCTTGTGGCAGGGGAGCACAGAAGTCCGAAGTATAGTCATCCGTTGTATAGCGTAATTCGTCATCAGAGCAACTAGGTTTAAACAGGCTACTTCTTACGCGTTTTTTTGATCTGTCTGGGCTTGATTTAAAACATCGTTTAAGCACAACTTCTGGAGTTTTGATATTACTTGAGGAGTTCGCACCTTTAGCGCGAGTTGACCGGTAATTTCCTTGTAGATCTTTTACTTCACTTTCGACTACGTTGTATCTTTTGTGAAGTCCTTCGACTTTTCTAAAACAACCCTTGCAAACTCGACAGGATTCGATAGATAAATTCACAGAATACTCGATGAGCTGTTCGAGTTTTTCTTGCAGACCATTGTAAGTTTGCAAGTTGTAGGTGCTTGTTGTTTTTCCTCCAAGATAAATTCCACAGCAAAGACAAGTTGCGTCTTTTTCTTTAGTTTTAGTGGTCCTTCTGGACTTTTTCAATGGAGTTTGAGGCGATTTAAATTGATCTACGAGTAACGGGGGTTTTGATTTTGGTGTTGTCACTTTGTTCATGTTGTCTTGCGGCACAGCGCGCTCGTTCTAACATTACGCGGGAAACTACCGGAAGCGGAAATTACGYGTACTGAAGTAGGCGTGGAAATCAATCAGTTTCTAGGCAACCGCCGCGCATGCTCAAATTTTTATTGAGGTAAGGAAATACACTCTGCTCGCAGGGTATTMTTGTAGTAAAGTTGCTCCTAGACCTTTCTCGGATGCGTCGTCAAAGTAGGTCAAGATGACTTCTTTACTGATTGACTCCTTAACTTTATCTAACGCGTCCTGGTATGTTGCACTCCATTTGAAGACACTCGCTTTTTTTATCAGTTCACGCAGTGATTCTTCATCTARCATAACGTTCCAGTAGCCACATTTGACGCCGACTATGGAAAACAGCTTCGCTCCGCTGRACTTAGGAAGAATTTCTTCTAGTGATGTTCTCTGAGGATTGCTTCGTTGAGGTCTTTCGGGTCAAGGCACAGTCGTAGTCGTCCGTTAGACGTCCTTTTGTATACTAACGAATTGACCCATGCTGTTGGCTCGCCTTCTTTTATCTTTGCGATGATTTCGTTGTCGATCATATTGTCTAACTCCTCTTTCACATCGTTTTCAAGACTCAAGGCTATTCTTCGTGGTGGGTGAACCACTGTCGGTACGGATGGGYCGAGTATAATGTGGTACTCTCCTCTAAACTTCCCTATTCCGTTGAAGCAATCTGGATAAAGTTTGATCAAGTGTTCCTTACTCTTTATACGCTCTTTGACGTCAGGTTGATTCAGTTTTGTGGTCGGGTTAGTGCTGCGATCTTGTCCACTTTCTTTTATCTCTAGATTGAATCTTAGTAAGTCTAAGTTGGTTGTTGTTGTMAGGCCAAGGATTGCAGGTCCTTGGGTGTCTGTGACATAGAACGTCGCTTGCGCTCTTTTGGTTTTGTACGAGCATGGTATAGTGACAACGCCTAGGTGTTTGATTTGAGCACCTCCATAGGCTACGAGAATGTTTGTTGATGGCTCTAGTGCTTCACTTCTCGGCGCTCCATATATGTCAATGTTGTCTGGAAACATTTGTCTGTAGATCCGTAGCGGCAGGACATTTCCTTAGGCTCCTGTGTCGAACTTTCAGAGTGCATGTTAGGGACTTCCCGGCGTTGTTTTTATGGTTTACTTAGATGTCTAGCGTCGCATAGACTTCGTGGTTGTCATGAGTGCTCGTTTGTTCTACGGGTCCAATTTGGAATGTTTCGAAATGGATTGACTCGAAGCTCGTTGGACTCGTTGGGGATTCGCTTGATGTCTGTAAGTTGTGAACTTGACGGTTTGATCTCTTTCTGCACATTTGTATGAAATGACCTTGTTTTTTTACAGTAGTTACATGTTTGTCCCCTAACAGGGCATCTATCTTTAGCACCATGCCTTCGTACACAGTTTCCACATTGGTTGTGGACTCCCTGTGGTCATTTCCGTTGTTGTTCACTTGCTTGGGCTCCCTGTGTCGGTTTTCGCTGAGTGCCAGACGCGTGTCTGGGAATCGGTGTAGGTTGTCTGTGATGATTAGATTTCTTAATAAAATGAAAGGTTTGATCTCTTTCTGCACATTTGTATGAAATGACCTTGTTTTTTTACAGTAGTTACATGTTTGTCCCCTAACAGGGCATCTATCTTTAGCACCATGCCTTCGTACACAGTTTCCACATTGGTTGTGGACTCCCTGTGGTCATTTCCGTTGTTGTTCACTTGCTTGGGCTCCCTGTGTCGGTTTTCGCTGAGTGCCAGACGCGTGTCTGGGAATCGGTGTAGGTTGTCTGTGATGATTAGATTTCTTAATAAAATGAACATTTTCCTCATAGTGTACTTTGCTACGTCAACCTTGGTGTTTAATAAAATAAAACCTAGCTTTCGACCTACGCGGTCATCTTCAGGGTTACAATGAATCTCGTTACAATAACATAAAGAGAGAGTGTAACATCAAGTACATAGGAGAAACCACCAGAGCGCTAGGAACAAGAAGAAAGGAACACCAGGCTGCTGTACGATTGGCAAAAACTGAAAACTCAGCATTAGCTAAGCATGCCACCTCTACAGGACATGCAATCGATTGGCAAGGAACGGAGATTCTTGGAAAAGAGGCTAGATGGCATCAGAGGAAGTGGGAAGAGGTATGTCACATCACCAGAAGGAAGAACGTTTTATTTAATAGAGACAGTGGTAGAACTCTACCTTTTAGTTACCTAAAAGTGCTAGGCGATTGATTTATTGCGCGCGCTTTTATAGCGTCATGACTTATGCACGCGCTCTTTGTTTTGATGGTGAAGTTTTTATGTTATTGTAACGAGATTCATTGTAACCCTGAAGATGACCGCGTAGGTCGAAAGCTMGGTTTTATTTTATTAAACACCAAGGTTGATATAGCAAAGTACACTATGAAGTTAAATCGAACCTACAATCATCTTTTTGAACATTTTCTTCTTTAATGTCGCTCGCCTTTCTTTTAATTCTTTCTGTGACGCTTCGTATGACCTGGCAATGTTTATTGCTTTCTCGAGGGTGAGAGATGTGCCTTAATCAAATAGCTTTTCTCTTATCTTCTCAGTACAGATACCATTCTGTCAGGGATCATCTCATCAACGTCTTTGAACTCGCAGTCTTGAGCTAGCTTTTTTAGGTCAGTTACGAATTGTTCTACGGGTTCCATTATGGCTTTGCACTCGCTTATGGAACTTGTATCTTGCAAATATTACATTGGATCTTGGGTTTACGTGTTGCTCGAAGCGCTCATGATATGTTTTGAGCTTACCTTTGTCGTCTTCGGATAAATTTGACCATGTACTACAGACGTCTTGGCCTTTCTGACCGACCCAGATTGGGAGATAGCTACATGCACTTTTCAGGCTCGCTGCGAGACTTGAGTGGACCAGAAAACATTAGTTCGACGTGTTGCTTGAAACGTCGGCATTCTTCGCGTAAATTGTCACCGTTCCATCTCATCGACGGCGCTTCAATTTCACTCAATGCCATCCGGAGTTATTAGCTGACTTGTTTACTTCTGACACCATATATCATGATAACGAGTTCAAGGATTCTGAAGGCTTTTATAACTCAGACATAAGCGTACTGGTACATGTTGCATGCTTTCTACACACGCGGTTCACACACACACATTTTACACACGCATGCGCGTAACATGTGATTACATAATCATGACAAAAATGATTACGATATTTCTCAACCAACATTCAATAAATGGGAAAGTGAGTTTCGAAGTGTTACTGAAGATTGTAATGAAAGTTTCCCCCATTTGAAAAAAAATGACCAATTAAAATCTACTCACTCTCCCCCGACTTTTTTTTCTGTCAAAAATTGTATCGCAGGGTCAGCAATAGGAGCAAGCTCAAATAGCTCTTGCATAATAAAACGTGAAATAAATGAACAAAAAATGTAAAATTCAGCATTAGGCCGTATTCTGTGGTCGATTATCGTTCAGTTTCGGTGCCCACATCACACAACTACTTTGAAATCATATAAATCTATAGTTGTTTACTTACTGAATAGAAATCTGCTTGTTGTCAATTCTAAAAACCTGCAGTTTTTTTTCATGAAGGCCTTCGAAAGTACGATAGAATTCCTTAGTAATTTCCCTATCCGCCATCTTGTTTTTGTTTGAATAACTGCTGACCATCGGCTCACATTTGAAAATGTCAGGGACTAAAAGTGGTATAAAAGGGYTGCATTTCAGACAATTTCTAATGATATCATTGCTAATTATCCATTTTAATGATTATCATGTGGTTTCAAAGTAGTTCTGGGATGTGGTCAGCGAAAATCGTTTTCTAAGCATAATTTTGAGGTCCAGAATACGGCCTACATGCTTTACTTTATTTAATTATACGCGTTAAAAACTGAAGTCTGATCAGTGACAAAAGAAAAAAAGAGATATCAATTAAAAGATAATCAAAAATCCTCACCTATGTTAATATTAAAGTTCTTTCCTTTATCATCAGTGTCACCATGACACCATAGTCCAACATAGTTTTCGGTCTTAGAAGTTGCTCCTTCTCCAGTCATGGTAACCTGCTGGACGAGTTGGTTGTCAATGTAAATCTTGACCTGGACACCTTGGACAACAGTCTTCAGGTTGTACCATGTGTTTAATTGGTAGTTGTAGCTGACGAGGGGAGAGCTTTCCTTCCCATTACTTGAAATATACATATACTGACGTGCCCACAGAAAGTATCCCCAGGCCTTTGTCACCATACTTCGTGAAGTTGAGTCGCAGAAAAGTAAAATGGAAATTAGTAGCAATGAAAGCAGTATACTTGCAGAATATAGCTAACAAATAGTTATAAACTATTCTTCGACGTGGCATATCCATATACTGCATCATATATCAAATATCAACCTAAACAATTATTTCAAAATTATACATTTCCAGGCATAACGTCATGATTGCTTTCGGAGAAGTGCATCATGGTATTGATAAAATCCTGAAAACTTGGATCAGGACAATGCAGGACAATGGGACCTATAATGAAGGACGGGTAGTCTGTTTGAATTAAGTTGTGGTAAATTTATTGAATGCTTGAAGAACATAAGATAAGATGCCTGAACATAGGAGTTTACAGAAGCACAAGCCAAGCAGGATAAAAAATCATTATCAGGGATGCAAAGAATAAGTTTGTTTGTACTCACGATAGTGAACGATGGCTTCCTGTTTTATACTTGAAAATATGGCCACAGTCACCGCTTGCTGAGCTAGACGTCAAAATTCTGCTTGTTATCTCTAGGTTATATGAATAATAAACAATATAGATCTTCAAAACTCTTTATAACGATTGCCCAGAGCATCATACAAATGATTACCATAATGGTCGGCATTAACAGGTGTTGTCCAAATTCGTGAAGGTCCGAAATGAAATATAGGATCATTTTGCGGCATCCTGAAACTCCACGTGTCACCAGTATCATTCCAAACAGCATTGCTAGCTGTTAGTTCACGCCATCCACCTTAACATACACAACAATTTAAAAATTCAAAAGGATAATACAAAATTGTACTTAATAATTGAAAGTAAAGTCAAAAAATTTATATCCGTGAAATAGATATTAGAACAATACGCCTTAAGGCCCGTTTACACTTGCGATTTTTGCAGCGTGATTGTCGCGCGACAATCGCCTAAATTTCGCACATGCTTGAAATTTAACTGCAACTAGAAATCAGGCAAGAAATATTTTCGATGTACGATATTCTAAGAATACATCATCAACTATCTTTCAATTGGAATCAGTGAAACGCTTTCATATTTAATCAATTCAAAATAAACAAAGTTTTATGCACTAGTCAATTGAAATCCCCGACCCCCGGGAATACCGGGGAATTTAACGTTTGATTGGTGTTAAAATAGGTAGTCGGGGGGATATTCACTGCTAAAAATCCCCGCCACYGTTTCAATCAAATTTTTCTGTGATTAACGTGGTTAATTTTTGTATAATCCTGTGTACTCATTTTCGTACAACATGAGGCCAACTGGCCGGAGAAAGACATGTGCAATAAGTTTCTTTTAACTTTTCGTGCAAGGAAAAGTAAACAAATGCAAAAACAGCTGGGTTGAATACCAATGCTTTCGGTGTATTTTTCAAGATGGACGACCTTTAGTTTCCAGACTCATACATCATTTCAAACGAACGTTAAAATCCCCGCTCTTTGCCCCGCTTCGAAACAATTCATCAAAATCCAGACCCCCCGGGGCAATCTTGCTGTTAAAAGTACGTTAAAAACGCGTCACGTCCCCGTTCAGTGCCCCGCTAGCCCCGGGGGCGAGGGGCGTGGTTTTCAATTGACTAGTGCATTAGCTGTTTCTCCAAAATGACTCGGAGGTTTTAAGGATTCCGGTAGATTAACTCCATGAAAACTATTGCAAGGAGACTGGGATTTCACCAAGTTGGATTCAGATTACAACTAAATATCCGAGCTTTTTTACAATCAGAAAACATTTGAGGTCACTTTTTTTGGATTCCGGATTCCTCTCATTTATGGGATTTCATTGAGGCAGATTCGGAATTCCAAAATTTTGTCGGATTCCGGGTTGCTTAACATGGTTCTCATGGTAATTATTGCTGACAAATACATTAAATTTCAATGTATTTTTAAAATTCGCTTATGCAACTTGCCCACAGAGCTATGCATGTTGACATCAAACGGCAAGCGATATAGGGACAACAGTGACAGCAGTGACAACATCATCTTCTCCATAGAAACTGAAAATTATCCTGACCACGGCCGCAATATTAGACAAAACACCAATTAAGATGAATCATCATCTGCAATTTACCAAATCTGTTTGACTCACAACTTTGCCTCTTGTTTCTACCTAAATAATTTATTTTTGAAACAGTTATAAAAGATGAAAGTTTTAAACGATGCCATTTTGACAGCTTGATCTGCGTTAGCACGACAATATTAGCAATCAGTTTTTTGTAATATTATTTCTTTAGCAAAACCATGACAACTAGACACGTGGCAGATGAGAACATTTTAAAACTTTTTCAAAACAATTCAAACTGTTGTATTAATATTTTAAGGAAATTTATCTGTTGGTTCTGAATAATTTGCCAAGGTATTCTGAAAACGCCGGTGTCTTTGTGTAAAAAAATACGCAGTCTAGGACTGCATGTGACTCAGATATAAATAGGACATAAGACAGAGTGTAATTTGAAGTCTCATTTTTTGCGAAATAGAGATAAATAGAAGGTACATAGAGAGAGATAAATAGAGTAGGCGAGGATTATTAGGACCTTGTAATTCCATACTTGGGACGGACCAAAATGGACGATAAACGAATCAGAGTTAAGATCAAGTACATTGCTGTGATTACTAGTTCGCCAAAAGCAATGGTCAAACCACATAAAGCGTCCCGACATCTGAAATATTCTTTATAAATTTGTGCCTATAGTTCTAGACAAAAAATAGTTTGAATACATTGTCTTGCGATGAAATAACATCAACCATCATCTTCGAAGCACAGAGAACTAGAGAACGCACATGGTCAGGGCAAGTCGATTTTTCGTCGTAAATTTCAGTCATTGGGATTTCGTAGACCTTTCGTACAGGCTCGTAATCCGAAATTATTCGATTTGGTGGAAAATACTTCGATTTGGTTACACACACTCACTTACGGTCGATGACATAGTGACGAGAGGCGTTCCCAGAAGGCCTTCGTCACAAAAATGCAAAACGAACTTGCCCTCAACGGGCTCAATAGCAGCAGAAAGTGCTTCCGCGCAGATTCAGAACTTTTTTGTACTACGTAGGCATATTACTTACATGTTTTTCCTCCGAATCCAGCTTTACATACGCAATTGAAACTGCTTTTCCCATTGGCGCAATTCCCGCCATTGGCACAGGGATTGGATCTGCAGAAGTCTAGAAAGACAAAAGAGAAACAACAGGTAGCTAACTGTTCTTAAAATAAGGAACATACTTGGCTACCAATAGATGACACGATTTTTTTAAAATTAATTAAAATTAATCGATACAATAATGTCATTATTTTAATTAAAAAAAGATAAATCAATGTGTGCAATGAAATCTTGATCTTTGTTTCCATATAAGAACAACTTTCATTTTTCAGGCTGAATGTGCTCTTATATAAATGGTACTTTATTTATTTATTTCCTAAAATCAGGCCTGAGTGTTCATAATCCACTTGTTCTTATACGCGGGTTTTTACTGTACTTTACCAAAACCAAAAGAAGTCATCACGAAAAATGTTTGTCATTACAATAGCCCTACAAATTTGCATTTTTCCCCGATATGAGAGTTAGCCAGGTATTCCCAGAAGACTCAAACTCTAGGTCTTGTGGGAATACAGGCTTAACCACAAAACGGAGAAGATTCAAAATTCTAACTATTGTATTGTCAATATTGTTTTCGTGCTTTCTTTTCTTCTCTACGCAAGTGAGTCTGTTGCGTACTAAAACAGCGGTCGCTCAAATTGAACGGGAAAAAGGCTTATTGGAACGCATTTTCATCAAATGATGAGAATGATGAGTGGATGAAGGGATGAATGAATGACTAATAGGAAGGTTATAAATACATAGGGCAACAAAAAATTCCTTTTCTAATATTAAATTTTTATTTTTTTATAAAAAAATAAATAAAAAAATAAGAATGTACGGAAAGTACTTTTAATCTCGACATTTTCGGTAATTCTTTCGCCATTTTCAAGTGATGTCAATTTCGTTACAAACTTTATGTATGCTAAGAATAACTGTGGAAAAAATATAAAAATTGTGGTTGCTAAATAAATTTATTGTGGTTGCTAAATATATAAAATCTAATTAAAGTACAAATTAGAACTAAGAAGTAAATTTCATATGCATGCATGCAATACAGTATTTTAGACCGTCCGTAATATGGTTTTTAATATCAAGTTGCAAAACCTCTTTACAAAATTATTATTATTATTATTATTATGCTATTTATATCCTTCCTAGGAAATACAAATAATATAAAAAAAAAACAATGAATAGAAAATATGACATAATCAAATGAAAGAAAAAAATCACACACACTAATAAAATCAAGAGAAATAAAAAACTTTAACTAATAACGATTTATAAATCGTTAAGTATTTAGAATAAAAATTAACGCAAGTATCCGACGTTTCGGAGTCATTCTGACTCCATTCTCAAGTACTAAACTTTAATTAAGTAAATGCAAATATAAGAGAAAATAACTGAACAATCAAACAAAGACTTTAGCTGACGAATCGAATCCGACTGTTTGTTAACGATGGTTCGCGCTCGCGTATGTAAAGCATCTCGTGAACGAGACAGTCAAATTTAGATATACATTTCTTGAGGACTTTGAAATGTTCTTTGATATCAGGCTTGTCCTAGGTGATCTCTTAGTGTCTCACGATGTAACATCTTTGTTTACAAATGTGCCTTTAGACGAGACGATAGAGATACTTGCCACCAAGGCGTTTCGTGACAACTGGTTTAACGAAACCAACGGCCTAAACATCACTAATCCAGATCTGGTAGAACTGTTAGAACTAGCTACCAAGGACCAGCTTTTCCAATACAATAGGGCGCTGTATGAACAGAAAGATGGAGTAGGCATGGGATCCCCCCTAGGCCCCCTAATGGCCAATGCCTTCTTGTGTCATATAGAGGAACAATTAGACGTTCCTGATTTCTACAGACGTTACGTAGATGATACACTTACTGCAATGCCTTGCGAATCAGCCGCTAATGTTTTCCTCGATGAACTTAACAGCATTCATCCGTCTCTACATTTCACTATGGAAATCGCAACCAGTGGTAAACTGCTCTTTCTTGGCATGCTTCTCGAGAAGAATGGTTCTCATACTCATTAATTATTCATGAGGTATCCAGCCAATCCCTGATTGTAATTTGTACCACGTGAAGTAACTTGAAACCAGAGGAAGTACTCGTACCTTTGTATTCTACCTTATTTCCAGTTACTTCTACCTTTTTCAAGTTACTTAAACATTATTTCCAGCTATTTCTACCTTATTCCCAGTTATTTCTACCATGTTTCCAACTACTACTACCTAATGATAATCAAATTATTAGAAATAATCAGTTTAACATTAATTTAGTGAAAAAGGTCTTTGATACATGACTCCCTGACGACTCGATCCCCTACCGTCCAGTCTATATGCGCCGTCTTATACCATTACACCACCGAGTTTCTGTTGCGATTCCTCGGAAGATAACATACTTATAAATCTTATGGATTAGGCTCATTAGGAATGTCATGAATAGCAGACAAAGACATTTTGAATAGCTTTTGTTTCAGAAAACCGTCAGTGAATTGAAGAACAACAAACGTGCTTCATGTATTCAAAATTATGAAAACTGAAAACCTTARTGGAGATGCAATAAATCAATATATTTCTGTTATATGTATTTCCTTCGCTTTTTACCCCTCCCGAATAATTAATGAGTATGAGAAGTCGTTCAAAGTCCTCCAATTCGGACTGGACGGGATTTCAAGTCCTTGCAATAGGTTCCAGTCCTCGACTGACGCCTCGGACTGGAACTAATTGCGCGGACTTGAAATCCCGTCCAGTCCGAATTGGAGGACTTTAAACATTACATCTAAATTTGACTTTCTCGTTCACGAGATGCTTTACATACGCGAGCGCGAACCATCGTTAAACAAACAGTCGGATTCGGTTCGTGCTAAAGTCTTTGTTTGATTATGCCATTTTGTTGAGTTGGTCATGTTCCTTTCCCTTTGTAGCGTTAAACATGATGGTAAATACACAATACACAAGCTATATACGTGCTATATACTTACTTATAGCCTGACAGTTTTTCCCATAAAAAGAAGATGGACATGTACAGTTATAGCTGACCTCGTTCATTTTCTGACATTTTCCTTGATTTTTACAAGGCAAACTGGCGCATGGCTCAGAAGCTATAAGCAATTTTAAGTAATTTGGTTAAAGAACTTGAAATTTAAGACTGGCGAGAACCTTGTTTTAAAGATACTTACCTCCAGTGGTCATGTTGCAAAAGATCTTTGCTGTTTGTTGAGCATGTTTAAGCCAGTATAAACCGCTGTTCGTTGTTTGTATATCAGTTTTGATTTCCATGCACGATTCTGCAGGAATTTCCTCGTGTGAACCAATGGAAGCTGGTAAAAATGTTAAGATTTTCTTAATTGTCTTAAATTTTTAAAATTAAAGGATTGTGTAAGTGAAGGTGACATTAATATACTCGGGTCTAAAAAATAGCTGGTCACGAGCGCAGTCGTTTCAGATCAGGGGCCGCGAAGACGGGGGGGCTGAGAGTCCGCGCCCCTCCTTACCTTTTGCTTCCGAATAATTAATAATAAATTAAATCGATAAGAATAAAATAAAAAATACAAAAAAATCGATGATTAGAGCTCGACTATACTTAAGGCATATGTGACGACATCGAGCTGGAAACGTTATAGAGTCAACTTCAAGTTCTGCATCAGATACTGAAGGGCGAGGCAAACGAAAGAAGAATTTTGAACTCTTAACTGTTGCAGATCGCTGAAGATACGCAAAATTTCCACAAAATTAATGCATAATATATCTTCTCGATGCTCTTCCGAGGATTAAAACTACAAAATTTTCCGCATGCCCCCTTCGGCGCTCACCGACCCTACCACATACTTGACCTGTCCCTGCAGATGCATCACCAACTCGTGTGAAAATCCCGTACAAAAGCACTTTCCATGAAGAAATCTATTTATAATGGAAGTTGCACTATAGACACAGGGACCGCGGAGTGTGAATTTGTTTGGGGGGGCTAGCGGCAAGGAGGTATTAGGGGGGTTCGGAAATTTTTGAAATCTTAACTCTCGGAAATGTCATATCCAGCGTTTTGAGGCGTTATCAATTTTTACCGCACACACGGTCAGCGATTATCAATAAATCACAAAGACTTCCCAAAACAGCTTCAATTTTAATTGTTCACGCTCAGTTTTTACACAATTCTTATAGAATATATATGGTGAAATTTCATAAGGAGGCTCTTCGCTTCTTTATTTAAGAAAATTCAAAATGTCGGAAAAATTATTGGGGGGGCTGTAGCCCCCCAGCCCCCCCTGCTCCGCGGTCCATGAGACAGCCCACCTCTTGCATGCTTCATTTATGCAATTCTGTATATATTGTATATATACAGCTGTTTGCAATAATTCTGATCCCCCTACACTAATATTGATATATATCAAAATAGCCTTAGAAATTATGGGATACCAATGCTGATATTTTTTTGAGAAAGTACTCATTCTGGACAACTCAAAAAATATATTAGTCATGATATCCCATAATATTTAAGGTCAGTTTGATATATATGAAATATGGCAGAGGGGGTCAGAATTATTGCAAACAGCTGTATATTGTATATAACAGCTGTATTGTATTTAATATAAAAATTAGGTAACACCTAATAGCGGAGCTCCAATAGCAATATAGAAGCTGGAAATGATTATCTAGTACTGCTATTTCAAAGGTAGATGCTCTGTTCTAAGGAATGTGAGCTACAACAGTTTTGTTGACATGCGAACAAATATTATAAAGAGTATGTTTATGAGAATTTAGTTCGTACTAATAATTGACTTCGGTAGATTTTGTTCCGTTGGATGAAGTTTAAAATTATAATCTATAAAGGTCAATTGATTAAAAGTAAACTGAAAGCTTCTCGGAAAAAAGTAGTCTACATAAACTTACAATAATCAACATTGTTTCAATAATCGATGTTTGAACCCGGACTACTCGAACTTCACAGAAAACTGTATACAAAAATATATTTTTTACCTTCATTATCGAACTTCCGATAMATTRTCGTTCAAAGRTSAYCTTCAACARAGCCATASTTGTTTCAAGCATAGGTTTCATCAATTTATTAAGTCATATATTCAAGACTGTAGATTCTTTTTTTTTTTAATCTCTCTCAATCTAACTGCTGGCATGGTGCTTGGTTTCGAAATGTCCACACTTTTAGTCGACAAAAGAACTTCCCATAGATCCCTGCTTTTTCCTATATTGGTCGATATTATTGAAGTATTTCCAATAAAGTATCATCTCTTTCTTGTTATCGAAATATCAAAGTAAAATCCTTTTTTCTTAAATATCACTTTTAAGATGGGCCTAAATTGCTTTTCATCTTCGCAAATCGATTTCCCGGATGTGCGGACGCGTCGAAGTTATGACAAAATTGGCGGGAATATTTCTGTGTTGTTATTTCGCTCTTCAGTGGATTTTTTCCTTGTGATTAATTGTTCTGATATTATCAATATGTAATATAAATGTTTAAGGAAAAAAAGTTTCAACAAATACTTGGCGCTTTGTTTCCTTTTCGAGCGGAGTATGGGCTTCCTGTGGTGGTACACGGAATCCAGGACGGATGGAAAGAAGGAAACGTGCGTACGCGCGGGAGCCCTGTGTCGGTCCATGGAAAATCGACTCGATGGTAAACCATTTTTTCTTAGCTATGGTGCTCCGCTCGCGCGGGCCTTATATATAATATATATATTGATGAATAAATGCAAAAAAGCGAAATCACAACAAGAAAACCGCAAGCGCGCGCTAAATTTGCCTGATTCTTTTCTTGACTTACTTTGGATTTTTGGATTACCTGTGGTGCTACGTCACGTTTCCGTGCCTCGCGGGCTACATACTAGTCTGTGACAAAATATGAAACACCGGTCACGTGACAAATCTTAATTTACTCATATCTCTCCAACGATRACAGTAAACGACAATTTTATATACAAATAATGATGTATGATTTTCTAACTACTTCATTAGTTTGAGTCTTTGGCCTTCATTTCTACGAGAAGAAAATAAAAATGAAGCATTTGGCTCGCCATGGACCGATGTGTGCCCCAGGTATCTGGGACACTTTTTTGGAGAAACGCTGGGATTTTTACATTCGCAAAGGCTAATTCGGAAGGCTTCGAGAGCTGTCGCAAAGCACGAAAGTGAAACGAAAGTACTTTTGTAGCTTTCGATGAAGGTTCGGCTTTGGTGACATCTTACGGATTACGATTACTTGCGTAAAATTTCGAACAAAAAATAGCCGGAGGCCATACGTCTGGCCATAATGTTTTTGTTTTGCTGGTAGAGGAAAACCATACACTGCGAAATACCTCGTAAAGCTGAGCAAAAGACAGTAGAAGGTGTTCATCTTTTATACTACAGGAATGGCTTGTAAGCTTACTGTATAAAGCGCTAGAAATTGAGAGTTGTCTTTTTTTTTCGCTACCAGGGAACGACCCGTGACTTTACCGGCGAAATAGAGCATAGGTTTTTCTAGGCTTTCAGAAAATCGGAGCGCGCGTACTATCTAACATGTATCTAAGCTATGTTATAAATATATACAGGGAGGGGAATTTTCTAAAACCCGTTTATAATGCATTGTGACACTAAATAAAATAAAAGTACACTATTTTTTTTTTCTATTTTTAACTATTATAGGTTCAAAAGGTCATTACTTGGGCTCCCTGTGTATAGACCAGCGAGGCACGGGATCGCGATCTCGTTCCCAGGGCTACTCTGCTCGCTTTTCTCAAAATGGCGGACAGAGATCACAGGTAACCCAGGCTCAATAACTTAGTATAAAATATGTCGTTCACACAATTTTTTTTCCTAGATAATATTATTCTAACATAAATAAAACGTCTCTTACCTTCCTGGTTGAAAATCTTTCGTTTTTAAGAGGTTTTACGCCATTTTTGATATGCCATTGTTTAACCTACTTATATTAATACAAGGTCGGAAACTGCACGCAAAGATTTCCAACAGTAACTCTACTTGCACTCGATTTTTTTGTCAAAATCTATACTTTTGTCGACATTTAACTGCTCCACAATAAACATGAATGTCCAAAGATTCTTTTGAAGCTCTTCGTCAATGAATTGCTTTTCGGGAAGTTATTTTTATCGGCCGTTGAATTCTAATATTCGGACTAAAGTAATCCTGACTATAACTAATTTGGTCCGGAGGCACAGTGGTCCCAAAAGAAGAGAGTATTCTCAAATTGGATTGGCTGATTTCTAACAAAAGGCAATAAACTTTTTAAATCTACGGGGGACATTGCTCAACAAATTGCGAGACGAGGCGGGGGAAGGTACAATCGAAAGCAACCAATAGGACGTCAGCCGCTCTCGCAGGGAAAACTTGCTCTACTTAATTTAAAGCCTTAATAAAGCACAACACAAGAAAGACAAAAGAATTAGCATAAAACTGCTTAAAAATAGTATAACGACCTTTTAGTTACGTATCTAGTGAGCAATATTATTTGGACATCATTCTAGTTTAGAAATTCTAGTACAGTTGTAATCTTGTATTTTACTTGGTATTTTCAGTCGCTCTCGCAGGGAAAACTTGCTCCACTTAATTCAAAGCCTTAATAAAACACCACATACGTAAAAATTTTTCCGACATTTTGAATTTTCTTAAATAAAGAAGCGAAGAGCCTCCTTATGAAATTTTACCATATATATTGTATAGAAATTGTGTAAAAACTGAGCGTGAACAATTAAAATTGAAGCTTTTCTGGGAAGACTTTAGGATTTATTGATAATATCGATCGCTGACCGTGTGTGCGGTAAAAGTGTCTTTGATAACGCCTCAAAACACTGGAAATGACATTTCCGAGAGTTGAGATTTCAAAAATTCCCGAAGCCCCCTAGTACCTCCTCGCCGCTAGCCCCCCCAAACAAATTCACGCTCCGCGGTCCCTGAATCTGGAAAATTCCCGCCAATTTCATTAGATTCCGATCCGTTTTTGAATGCACGTCCAGAAAAAACTTGTTCATCAAAGAAAGAGAAGGAAAAACCTAGTCATTTTTGAGGGTTTGTCAATCCAGTTTAGCAAACTGTGGCCCTAAAAGAAACAGCCTTTACTACCATTTCGCTTCAAGTGATTGACAACAAAAAATAAGCTGATGTTCCAGGAAGCTTAAAGATCAAGAGGAAAAAACAGCGGATTTTGTTTGCATAAAAGATCCTTCTCAACTAACGGTCACTGCCCTGCAGTGTTCACCTGTCTTCTTAATATTGCGGAAATATGAAATTAAAAACTGACTTTCTATCTTGCCACACGCTAGCTAATTATTTAAAAGAGCAAGACTTCCTTACAAATGAATGAATAAGACAAATAAACGTATTTGGCAATTAATAACTTATTTTCACTCTGTTCCTTAATAGTGTTTACTGAATATGTCCCCTAACAAAATGATGGAAACTAGCCGGTGTTTCTAAAGAAACAGTTTAAAAAGATAAATTTTGACACTGAGAAAGTACCTACATTTTTACGGTGTCAAAATTTATCTCTTTACACAAGTGTGTCATAATCACTTAGTGTCAGCTTACAACAGTATAACCCGTTTTAAGTTGCTCGATTAAACTCAGTTTTTTTTTCTTTTTTTCACATTTCGCTGTTTTGTCCGCAATGTATTGATTTTGTTTAGTTCATTTTAGCAATTTTTTACTCCGAATTAAATTTCCCGTCTGGTCAATTCCCAATGCAATCAATGCATAAAAAATAAAAATAAAAAAATAAAAGAAGTACTCTGCATTGCAATTTGATGTGTAATGTTATTTAAAAAAAAGAAACTAAGAAAAAATAATTAAAAAATGAGAGCAAATATACATAAAAACCGTCGCTCATACAACAAATATGTTGCTGCCGCCGTGGCATCGCCATTTCGATTTCAATACAAAGGCTTTCTTTTGCAATTATGTGTACAAAACTATAGGTCTAGAAAAAATGAACCGAATCTCAATTATATTGAAAAACACTAAAATTTCAAGTGAAATTAATAAGAATAGCAGGGAAACAAAAACATGAAGAATTAGCTGAATTAATCGTGAGTAAAAGAAAAAGTAAAAGACACAAGAAAATCATTCACTGAATGAATGTTAAGTCAGCCCCACCTGGTTTTATGCGTTCGAAGTAAGTTGCCCTTGAATTAGCTGCCTTCTTTTTTGGTTTGGTTGCTATGGTCCTGTTATTGAGCTCACAGATAGAGCTCTCTCTGTAATAGTTAATGCTCAARCAGCCAATCCTCTTTCTACATTTTTCATAACAAACATGAATGTTTTCTTCATGAAATGAAGCAAATACATGGCCAACAAGAGCAACATTGCTGACTGAAACGTGGCATTTGTTGTTCGCTTCCAGAAAAGAAAAAATAGAGAAGATGGAAGCAATGCTGAAAATGGCTCCTGCTTGCATCATTGAAGATTAAAAGTGTAGTCCTAACTTGAAACAGCTTATTTTTACACAATTGAATCAATAACGTCGTCAAGATTGATTTAGTAAAATGATATTGGTGTATAATTGCCTAATTAACGTGAGCACTTAGGCTACAGATGTTTCACTGGATGGTTGTGAAAGTGCCAAGTTCGTTAAAATAGAGGGAAATTAACTATTCGTCACCAATCTCGATTTTTAGACAATTTCTTCCCTTATTTCAGAAAAGAACTTCATGTTCAATCACCTTTTCGATGAATTTGTGTGTGTTTGATGGTGACAATCAGGGACCGCGGACCAGGGATGGCAAATGTTTCACTGGATGTTGGGAAAGTGCCAAGTCCGAAACACGGAAGTTGTTGAGTGAGTGGACTTCCCAACCAGGATGTAGTAAACGCAATTGTCTGATGTAACTCGTGCTTGTTTTGACGCTGTACTTGAAAACAAGCAAAACATACCAAGAGAATCAATAAATTTTCCCTTAAAAATTCCTTGATGGTAAAAAACATGTATAATTCTTTGGAAAACAGTTTATATTAGTGTGTTTCTTTAAATCGAAAGCTGAATTTATTATTGCGTGGAAGACCGCCGTTTTGCTTACTATACAGCACTTTTCTAAGGGAAGGAAATGCAAGAGTTACTTGAAAACAAACAACCGTTTTAATTTTTTTAGATGCCCCCCCCAAAAAAAACACTAAATGTCCGTGGAATGTAACTACTTGATGGTAGGAACATGATTAATTACATGGTCTTCCCGTGTCTCAAATTACAAAACTTCGTGTTAAATGTTGAATGGTCTGCTTTAGAGGCATCGGTGAAGGCCTGGGAAAGAGACTTGGGAACGGCTGTTTGAAGGTCTATTTGAGTGAAAGAAGACCAGTGACTAGCTAATTCGAAAATCATGTAATTTTGTTTATTCAAAAAGTATCCAAGAACCTTTTCGATTGTTTCTTTTGTTTAACAAATGATCTTTTGATCTTTTGTGGAAATATGCTAATATAAGAAAACCTTGCAGAGGTTCTTGGTTGCCGACTTTGCAGCGTATTAACCCTATTCAGACTGGGGGGCTCAAAAGCCCCCCTCCCCCTCGAGCAAAATGCCAAACTTTCGAACCAAGACAGCTAAAGCTCTGAAACTTTCGGACTTTTCCTAAAATTTATCTTGACAGATTTTGATGCACTTTTTTTGTTGATATCGTCATCCATGTTTCCATGGCAACCAGTTTTTGACACATAGGTTTTCAAAAATGTAAAATATGCTTAATTTTTAAAGGTTATTTCTTGTTTTATTATGCATCTTTTACCTATCTGAGCTTGTTCCCATTCCTGACTCTACAATTCCACAATAGTTTTTGGACAACAAAAACTTGGGGGGAGGGGTGGGTAATTTTCAGTCATTGTTTGATATGGGAGAAAATTTCATTAAAATCATCAGTAACACTTTGAAACTCACTTTTTTATTCATTAAATTTTAGTTTGAGAAGTATTTCAGACATTTTGAGCTGTTTGCCTCAATACTTAGTTTTTTAATGAGATTTGAAAAAATTCAAAATGGCGGTCCAAGATGGCGGATCCTAAGATAGCGGATATTCTTCTCAAAATTGCTTGTTTTAAATTGTTTAACTCCAAAAACTCCTCAAATTGTAAAGTGTACCATAAAATACCGATGTAGACAAAAAAAGTGAGATTTGGAGTCAAATTATTCAAAGACGACAAAGGAAATGACGTCATCACAATTATTACGTCACACCTGTTACCATGGATACAAAACAAACCACAACATCAGAGGAAAGCAGTAACACCTAAATATGATATTTAACTGGTTATCTTGATATAGATATATAATTTATAAAAATTACCTGAAATCTATGACGTCATTGTGACGTCATATAGAACGGGGGTCAATTAAAAAACAAAGATATTATTTTCAAGTCATTTCAATAATAAACAGATGATATTGCAGCATTCTCAATGGCATTGTAGGCAATTTATTAAAATGGATTATAAATCGTTAAAATGGTGTAAATGACGCCATTATGACGTCACATTTGGTTCCCACGGGTCAAGACTGGGTGTGGCGGTTCGTTCTACGTGGGAGACCATTGTGTGAAAATTTCATGCTCATAGACGTATCGGTTCCGAAGATACTGAGGGGGGCCAAATTACAGATTACAACAAAGAGCCCAGTCTGAATAGGGTTAAAATAATAAAGATTATTCCACTCGTTGTACATAGCTGATATCCAGCCCTGCCGGAGCCTTGTTGCCTTTCATCTCATGTACGACAAGAATATATGAAACTACATGAAAAAAAATCAGGAGGAGCGTTTTTCTAATTAACTGTTCTTGTGCGAATTTTTTCCTACATTTAAACTCGAAACCTAGTGACGTTCTATCATGAGAGTCTAAAACTAAGAACTTTTCTAGTGTTGGGCACACATCGAGTGTCTGTAAATCAGTTACAACACTGATGTTTCATGCATGAGTGTTATAACTAACTGAATTGGTTAGTTATAAAACCCATGTTTAATTAATCAGTGTTTGTTACTTGAGTTATAGGTTCTGTCACGTGACCCATAGTTGAATACCCATTGGAAGAATGTCTAATGAATAATTCATGAGTTTTAGAATTTTAGTGTTTAAACTCCTTATGTATAGGATAATTGATGAGCTCCGAGGCTTATTGAAAATAATGACCGAGCGCGCAAAAATGAAATAAACGCCGCGACGTCTATTCGAGTAAATACGGTACATTACTTATTTTTGTGCATGTTGACAAAGAGTTGTCCTTACTTTGACAGACAATTGGTCTGATAACACAAACACCATTCGCTGATCCTTTGTTCGTAAATTCTGTAATCCTTGTTATTTCACCTGTAGAGATTTGTTGACAATCGACACTTGAGTCTATTGTTCTTTTATTGTTGTTATTGCTTTGAATATCAGTAGCTTTTAAGATAGAAGGCTCGTAGTTCATGATTGGCTTTGGATAGATTAATGGCTTGTGTATCATAACTTAATTCACAATAAGCTTACTAAATTCGCGGTATTTTTCAAAATAGAAGGAAGCTCATTCCAAAAAAGCTCGACATCTTTTAATGTGGCTATACCGCAAATTGTATGTGGATTTGTAAGTGATTTGGGCGAAATTTTTGGAGAAGAAGCCATGCCATAAGTCAATAGACGAAGAAGCTAGCTGATACAATAAGCACATTGGCACATGGACTAGGATTCCATGACCATTTGCGAGACAAAAAGGCGCGGAAGAGACAACTGCATGGCACGAGACAAGACAGGCTAGGAACGCTTAGCTACAATGTAGTCCGGCCGCGTTTTGACGATGAAAATAATAAAAATAACGCCGAATCCTAACCTCGCGCTTCCACAGGAACCCAGAGTAAAAAACAAAGAGAACTTAACAACTGCACAATTAGGCAAATCTCCCATGAATTGGTATTCAGTATAAGAAGAAAGAAAAGTCTTTCTAAAATATTTAGGATACTACGCGCGCTGTGATTGGTCGAAAACCATGTTTGATTACAGTTTCTAAAATATTTAGGATACTACGCGCGCTGTGATTGGTCGAAAACCATGTTTGATTACAGTATCAAAACACGTTCGCGCACGTCAAAAATTTCTTGTTTTCTTTTAATTTTAGAAAAGAAATAAAAGACGAAATTCCGTGTTTGATACTCTGATCAAAATTATCTTTGTAATCGCCTAGACAAGTTTGCCTGGATTTCATGAATTTGTATATGTGTGAATATGAAGAGCACACGTGGTTTCCTACGCTTCTCTCGTGCTCTCCCTACATCCCGCGTGTTTTGATCAGAGTATCAAACACGGAATTTCGTCTTTTATTCCTTAAATCATAAATACACTGATACTTTTTTTTGTTAAATACAAGAAGTATCTATTTATTTAGTTACTTTGATTGAACATGTTTACATTACGTTTTAAATTGGAAAGGAAAAGTGTTGTGACTATATCAAATTTGACTTACAAATGATTTTTACATTCAATGATTTTTATCACAGATTACAAAACAGATTGTATATCATGAAACAAAAACGACAATAAATAGTTTACAAATTAAAGAGTAGTATGATACACAATGATACACAAAAGGATCATAAATACCTCAAAAAGTCACATATGGAACTTAATGCCATACATTGGGTGACATTTGCTTGGATTATTGTCCAGGCTCACTCATGCATCCATGCATGCATGTATATATGCATGTAATTTAWTTATTTACTTCATGAAATATAATACAATGGAGTTAATTAATATTTTGTCGTCGATCGACCTCATTAACATCATCATCTGACCATTAAATACTATTAATAGCAAAGTCACCTCTAGAAAGGAAAGTACATGTACATATAATATCACAGTTACGTTCACTGACTGATATAAATTTTTCAAATATTGAATTAACACAAAACTGCATAGTTTTGAGTACATTTTCAACATATAATAAGAAAGCAATAATTTAAAAAATTCAAGTTTGATTTTTGTTGCTTGTGCCTACAGAAGTAGTCTCCTTTGCATCCGTTCATCGTCGGGACAGGAATCCCGAAACGCAAACGGATGCGAAGCAACGCCAACTCTTCAAAGGCGAAAATACGTGATTTGATTTTTAAATTTTCTCACGAAAAATGCACAGCAATGTCACACATACATTTTATTTCTTAAATCCGGTGCTAGGTTTTTTATTAACAAAATAAGTTATACGCGAGGCCCAGTTTTTTGGAGCGAACTGTGGTGAAAACATGGATCGCCATACTATTTTAATGCTCAACTTCAACTCTTCAAGGGCAAAAATACGTGATTGGATTTTCGAATTTTCTCATGAAAAATACCCAGAAAGGTCGCATATAGATTTTATTTCTTAAATCCGGTGCTAGGTTTTTACGATTGTTTTTAATGTCGCCGCATTTCTTCAAAAAKCCTTGAAATCTGGCCTTTTTTCGTCAAA